TTAGCATCCACATTAGCTAAAGTAAACACTCATATCATTACATTGATTTACTTATTTCCTCCTCAACTACAGAATCCTGTTTCTGAGGCAGCAGAGCAAAGAGCTGGACAAGCTGAAGAACCAGAACTCGTACATGGTGTGAGGACCTTACCTGAGGAGAAAGAACCGGGATGGATGGATTGAAATAATGATCGGAAAAGAGGAATAGACACGGACAGCAAGCTGCTGCAGCCTGTTAATTCTCCCTAGCAGAGAAGCTGTTAAAGAGCCTCCATCCTGAACAAGTCTTTTTCTTTTCTTTCAAAAAAAAATATTTTTCCAACGTCCACCACACGAATTGCTCTCGCTGAAAGTACCGTTTTGGCGCGTCGGACACTTTAACGGAGTGGACACGGAGGACCTGAGGCTCCTTTTTTTCATTTTTTTTCTTTTCAAAAGCAGCACCGTTCGGGACCGTGAACCTTGGATTGTGTGTATTGTATCGGGTTAACTTGTTTTCTGGTGTGTTTTTGATGTGTAGTGGTCAGGAAAAGATTACATTCTTTGGAAAATGAACAAAAAAAAAGCAAACCATCTCATAATAATCAGTGTGGCACAGTCCCGGAGGGGTGGGGGGGTTGATCATGCTCCCCGATCTTCTAGAAATTGCATTGAAATGTATGGATTCAATGGCAGTGATGTTACTAATGTTATTTTTAATTCACTATACTTGTCCGTGATTTTTTTTTTGCCATACCCAGTGTGTCTTCGAAGCTGGTACACATCATGAAATTAGCGAAGACCACTTTTGGCCAGATTTTCGAAAATAAATACTTTAAATGTGCTTCAGTTGCTTTGTCCCAGTGGTGCAGATTTTGCTGGGACTCTAAGGCTAGCTTTGTCAAACACACTCCAGATGTTTCAGAGCCATTTTTGAGGAAAAGCCCACATTATTGGACCTAGTTTGGCTGCTAGAACATATTTGGGGTCGTTTGTAGACCTGCTAGCTAGTTTCTTCTGCTAATTGTCTTTTCTTTTTTCTTTTTTTATAATTGTTAGTATTTTCGTTTCTCTCCCAAGTCAAATTGGGAGAATTATTTCATTCCTATTTTGCAGCTTAGCAAGAGATTGTGTAAAAGAATAGTAAAGCGACTGAATTCGCAGTAATGTAAAGCTAAATTATTGTTGCACACGATTGATTACGCCCTTCTAGTCATAATGGTTTATACAAAGGTCGATGGAAAGACATTTTATTTTTTATCATTGTTTGGAGCCATTTTATCAACAGACTCAAGCAAGACTTTTTTTTTTTTTTTAAGGGCTCATTCATCATGAGGGTTTACTTTTTTTTACGCACATGAACATGAATTTTCAGTCGTACACTTCCACACCCCATAAAGCAACTTCCCCTTTTTCTCCTTTTCCTCGTCCTTGACTAGTTTCCACCAGATCTGATGTGCACACTTTTTTTGTTTTGTTTTGGGGGGTGGGGGGGAAGGGATCGGAGCTTTGTATTCCATAAAATATGAGAATAAAATATTATACCACAACTCCTGCTTGACTTTGTACTCATAGTTCAGCTGTTGTAGACTTTAATTACGGGAGTAAATGTGTTTTTGGTGAATACATATCTTTATGAATAATGCATTTTGTAATTTTTCTAAATTAAAGTGTGGAATGTAAGTAAGATGGGATCAGAATGTTTACCATGCAGTTCCATTTATGGCCACGAGATGGCGAACAATCTTCACATTTGGTTTTGCTTTTTCTTTCTCTGCACTTTCAAATTAAATGAGCTATAATAACTAAACATGTCGTCATTGAAATTGAGCTAAAGCAGAAAGCTGGATAATATCAGATGACCCATGTCCATATTCTGGGCCAGCTCTGAGACAATCATTTAAGTAAGTTTGCATGAAACATTAAATGCCAAGTGCAAGATTTCATATGTGCTGGAGTTCATTTCATTTCAATCTTTATTTCGAACAGATTAAAAATAAAAAAAAAGTGAAAAACAGAATACCATATTGTTAAAATATAGTATTTATCCACATTCATAATAATATTTATATATTCAACATAAAAAAAACAGTCTTCCTATTAATAATAATTAATCATATTTCATTTAATTTCAAACCTTTATTTAATCAGATTGGTCCCTTGAGATCATAGATCTCTTTTTCAAGGGAGACCTGCAGCATATAGGTTCCACATGAAACATGAAACAATAAAGGACATCATACATTATATACATATGTGTCCGAAAGGGAGCAGGAGGAAGCAAATGCTTATTAATTCCCACCCCTTACTTGATCAATGATTGTCCTTTAAATCATTATGCAAGTTATTCCTACTTACATTTACATTTATACATATACAATAATTTCTCATCTTCAATCACCTTTCTTCATTCTCATAGTTTTCCCAAAAAGTGTTTCTGTACATCCTTTTAAACTGAATTATGCTTGTGCTTTGTTTTAACTCCTGCTCCAAACCATTCCATAAAATCACCCCACAGATTGTTAAACTCATACTTCTCAGAGTTGTTCTGACCTTGAGTTGTTTCAAATGTAGATTTCCTCTCAAATTATACCCACCCTCTCTGTCTACGAACAATGTTTTTAATTTCCTAGGAAGTAGATTATGTCTGGCTCTGTACATGATTTGTGCCGTTTTAAATTTAACCAGATCAATTAACTTCAATATGTGTGACTTCAAAAATAATACATTAGTGTGTTCAAGATATCCAACATTATTGATAACTCTTATAGCCCTTTTCTGTAATGTGCATAACGGCTGTCGGTTGGTTTTGTACGTGTTTCCCCAAATCTCCACACAGTAAATCAGATATGGCAATATTAGTGTGTTATATAGAGTATACAATGAGTTGTAGTCCAGAATGTGTCTGGCTTTTCCCAATGTTGCGATAGTTTTAGCCAGTTTTGCTTTTACATGAGTGATATGAGGTTTCCAGCTGATTTTGTGGTCTAAAACCACACCAAGGAACTTCATTTCATATACTCTTTCTATGTGTATGTTATCTAGTATTAATTGTATCTGTGGATTTGTTTTATGTTTTCCAAATAACATAATCTTTGTTTTGCTTATATTTAATGATAATTTGTTCGTGTCAAACCAATGTTTTACTTTAATCATTTCTGCTGTTATCACTTCCATTATCTCTTTCAAATTGTCACCGGAACAAAAAATATTACTGTCATCTGCAAATAAAATACATTTCAATATATTTGATACTCTGAAAATGTCGTTGATGTATATTATGAACAGCTTTGGACCCAACACGGACCCCTGAGGTACTCCACAAGTTATGTGCATGTATTCTGATTTATGTTCACCAATTTCAACAAATTGTTGTCTGTTGCTTAAATAATCTCTCACCCAGTTTAATCCCACCCCTCTGATGCCATACCGTTCCAGTTTTATCAGTAAAATATTGTGATCTATGGTGTCAAATACTTTTTGTAAGTCTATAAGTATTCCCACTGCTTGTTTTTTATTGTCGATGCAGTTTGCTATTTCCTCACTTAATTCCATTAGTGCCATAGATGTTGATCTATCTTTCCTGAATCCATATTGACTGTCGTCCAAAAGCTGATGAAGTTAACTTATTTAAACTTGAACTCAGACCTCACTGCAAAGTTATGTGACACAAGCATGTTTTTTTTACCCATAATATACTCCTGTAGGTACACACGTGTTGCATTATGATTATAACTAGGGAAATGCATATGAACCCTGAAAACTGAAAACTCAAATGAATTATACTTCAGTCCTGCTTTCCTGAAAACTGAATTTATAAAACTGCCAGGAATAAAGACCAACAAGCTGAAATGCATCACAAGAACAGATGGAAACTGAATTGTAATGCTATCAAAGCTGGAGGTTCCCCTCACGTCAAACTAATGGTTTAAAAACATGGAAAGAATAATTGCTTTTTGTTAATATTGGACATAGTAGTTGGTGATAAACAAACAATCATTTGCTACCCCTGTCGATACCCAAAATCCATTCTAATTTCTGTTAGCAGCCCCAAAGACATGTTCCTTTTTCAATATAAGTGATGGTAAGCCCTCTTAGTTCTGTGCAAAATTGGATTTCAGAGCCAAACATAGTTTGAGGGCTCGGATTTATGGATAAGTTTAGGTATTTTTATATTAGTAATATACATGAATCCTCTTTCTTTCAAAACTGTCCTTCTTACATAATTCAACACTTGGCCAAAACCCATTAATGTCTCATATGTCAGTTCAACCACTAAATACGTTACTAATAATCTAAATAAATCCAACGTTTTTAGCAGTTTATTTAAGTTAGTCAGTAAAACTGTCTGGAAGATTAAATGCAGATGACTGTTCAAATTGTAGACAGTTAAAATAAATTAAATGGATTTACAGGAAGTACTAAACAAGAATTGTATTCTCGGTTTATCTAAACATCAATATTTCAAAGGGCCACATACCTGTATTGACAATAACTGTGATCTTTGAAAAATTCAAACAAAGATGCACATTATATCATCGTGTAAATAATGCAGTTCCTCGTAAATAATTTCCAATATTTTTTTGTCTTCCTCCCAAAGTCCAACATTTTCTATTGTTATCATGAATTATTTTGGCCATACAAATAATGTAGTGAACATTTCTTTAGGTGACTGCTTATTTATATACTGTTCTCATCCACTTCTTATTTTTACTTTACTAGTTAGGAAGATAATTAGGTCCACATGTAAAAAAACTTATTTGAGTCCTGATTTTATTCTCATTTTAACGTAAACTCAGATATCTTCAGATAGCTTCTGTAGTTGGACTTGGAGTTATATTCTTTTTGCTGCTGCAGATATTTTACTGTCAAACGAGATTGATGAAGTTGGTATTTATTTACTGTCGTTTAAGATATGTGCTCAAACATGTGTTTTCACATCAATAGTTGGACACATATTCAATGAAAAAGAAATAAAGAGCTTTTTACTACTATTATCACCGCCTTCAAACTAAAAACTCTCACACTTGTTTGCTCACACAGACCTTCGTTGGTAAAATCTTCAGCGGTACTTTATCCACTGTGCTAATGTATGGAAACAGCCTCTCAGTGAAGGTGTGTTTGAGGGTGTGCAAGAGTGTGTTAGTGTCAGGATCAGAGAAGGTCAGCTTTCCTCTGCTCCAGTCCAGACTCATTCTGATTCTCTTCAGCTTCCTCTGCAACCGCAGATCAGTGGCTGCAGCTGGTAGTGCCCGCGCCGAGTATTCCCCTTTATGGAACCGCATTTCCCATAATCCAGTCTGTGTGGGTCCCTTTCTCTGGAATGACTCCACTAACACACCTATTGACCAGAATGTATTAATGCCAACTTCAACGTCCCATGTGTGAGTCCCCGAGTTAAAGCTCTCAGAGCCTTGGACGATGTAATAATCATCAAACCTCTCCGGATTATCGGGAAGATTCTGCTTCTCCCCTCCTCTCGCATTGGTCATATCATCAGACACGATGAGTTCTAGATTTGTTGTGTTTGGGTCCAGAATCACCGGCGTGTAGGAGATCATCTCCTTCATCTTGTTCCAGATGTTGAAGGTCAGGTTGCCCAAGTGTTTGGCCTTATCTATGAGAGCTCCCGGGCCCAGCTGTGATTCCTCGAGTAGGGGGTGCTGCCGCTGGATACTTTCCACTGTTGCCTTGTAGTTCTGCAGAAAGGACACATCTTCAGCTCTCAGCTCCTTCTCTGTGGTTCTGATTGTGTCTGAAAGAGCGGCTATTTTTACGCCCAGAGCGTCCATCTTTACCGTTATCATCTGCATCTTCTGCTCCTCTTCCTGTTTCAAAGCAGCCATCCTGGCTTGCTCTTCTTCTTCTAGAAACTTGTGAAGCTTCTGAAACTGCTTCTTAATTTGAGTCTCAGTTTGTCGGGCTTGGACGTTAATGTGCTCAGCTGTTTTGCTTAACTTTCCTTGAACCCGTTCGAGAACATTTAAATTCTTCTTTAAGGGTTTCAGTGTGGCCTGGAGTTTCTCCCTGTGCTTTGGCGCAGCTTCGTCAACGGGGCTGAATTTGTGGTTGGTGTGTTTCTCTGAGTCCCTGCAGACGAGACAAGTCGGCTGCTGATGATCTAGGCAGAAGAGTTTGAGTTTCTCAGAGTGCACACTACAGAGGATCTCCAATGCTCTCCGGTCTTGCTCCTGTACGAAGGCCTCACACAGGTTCTTCAACACCAGGCTAACAGGTGGGTTCACCATTGAGGATCGTCTCTTACAAACTGGACACTCACACAGTGGTTTCGCCTTCCACCAGGTGCTCAGACAGTCTTTACAGAAGCTGTGGGAACATGACAGAACAACCGGAACTCTGAAGATGTCATGACAGACCGGACAGCAGTAATCCTCCTCTGATCTGGAAGCCATTTTGTCCCTGAGTAAAGCTGAACACACGCTGGATTTTCTCCCTGCTGTGGAAAGCTGACTGAGTTACTTTCACTTTGTAACCTTGAGTGTTTTTCAGTCCCCAACAGGAAATAGGGTATGAGTATTTCCTTCCTTAAGTCCGTCAGAACTTTCTCCTACAAGTCTCTTTGCTCAGGTAATATTGACAGATTTATAATGAAGGTAAATCTTACCAACTGTCTGTCGGTGTGTCCTTTCCCTGAGAAGTCATAAACTTGTTTCCTGGTTTGTCTCACATTATGTCATCGAAGGGGTGGAGCTTTGTGAAGCAACCTATGTGTTGTGTGCTTTGTTTTAGAAATGCGGCTGCTGATCGACAAGCCAAAAGCATGTATTATGCCCAGAGGGGTGTGTCTGGGATGACATTGATATTTGTTCTTTAGTATGATTATCATATTTTCCTGCTGGCACTGCTCCACATCAGCCTTCTGAAAACAGGTCAACTTACTCTTGGCAAACTTTCAGAGGAGGCTGCAAAATTATGGCACAAGTAATAATCACAATTGTTTTTATCAATACTGAGATCCTGACAGTTATTAAGATTAATCATTGACTCTAGGGTCTAACTATTTTTATTCACTTTCACATTAAATAAGCACAGCACTGCTTATACTTTCCGTCCGATCCACCCAGGGACCGTTGATGTTAAAGACGGGGCTTAGTGACTTTCCAGCTTTTTTCCAAAGTGCACAAAAAAGTCATTAGTCTTAGGCACGTGCACACATAGACATCAAAGTGGGCTTGAGCCCCTGCCCTTTTTCTTCCTCCAGAAAAGAGCCCTTTTTTCCCTTTAAAATAAAAAAATAAATGAATATATATCTACTGCTGTTTGTGCACAGTTTCCCTTTCCAAAAATATATTGATTCAATACAAAATAAAAATATCAGGTCGGGAGATGAGACTGTGAAGTTCTGATGCTCTCTCTATCCTCCCTCCCTCCACGTCTCGCGCACAGCGGAAATCGGCAGTCACTTCAGACAGACAGGTGGCAGCACCTCCCACTTTACTCTCCCATGTTATGCCCGCTTTTCTTGGCTTATTTTGAAGGTGAGTGGTGATGAACAAATGACTAGCTGCCAGTGCCTCGAGTTTACAGCTAATTAGCCATAAAACAACAACAATTATAGTTAACTAAGGTAGGCTACTAGCTAATGGATAAGTTGTTAGCTCAAGGTCTAGCTAAGGCAATTTATCATGGGCAGCAGTCTAATGTACTGTACTTAAGGGGAGACAGACACTAAAGGTGAATACAGTAAAATGTGTATCTAATAACGTCATCACAATCGTGAATCGAAATGTTATGTTTAAATGGAGATAGCTTTAAATCTATAGATTAATTCAGACATGGTAGTAAGACGAACACCATTTATGTGTTTTTTGGACGTTTTCTTTCCATTAGAGTGAAAGAAAACATGGGAGCAAAATAGACCAAAAATAAATTAATTGTACAAGTAGCCTACATTAAAAAACGATCTTTTAGCCTGCAATGTCCTTAAACAGTAACTTCATAATTTTGATTGTTGGCTGCTCATTTAATAACTAGTAATTGTACTAGTTTGTTGTCTGCTCATGTGTATTGTGAATACTAAAGAAGACCATTGTCTCTGTGTTAGCTGATTATTTTGTAGAATTCCTTTGAGTATTAAACCATTGCGTGAGTGTGAGGGTATTAAAATAAATTGGTCAGTAAGTCAGAGATGTGCAACTATATTTAACTTTTTGTTTTAATTTTTTGTAATAAATGATTATTGGAAGTGCCCTTTTTCTCACTTGAGCTCCCGCCTCCCAAAATGTCTGCACGTCCCTGGTCTTGCCAGGAGAAGGTTGTTGGCCTGAAACCAGCACGTCAGATATTTTACTTCCTTCAGGTAACCCTTCTTATTTGTATCTTTTGTACCACAAAAAGGATGGAGTTTAAGGTGGCTACACATTTGTGTGTGTTCGGCAAGTACAGTATAGGCCTAGTCGGCATCCCTTGGGTGCTCTAGTGCTGAGGATGAGGATCTAAGGGGTTCTTGAGCTTTGTGATGAGATTGGAAGGAACTATGGTTTATAACACCATACTGTATTCTGTCAATGAACAGTAAACGCGCACAGTTACCTTCATGTTGAGGTGAGATTCTGTGATTTGCAAAATATGTGCTTCAACATGTTCTTTTCATCTGTTGGGCCTGTAGGCAAACTGTATTTTAGCTTGGTTTGACCAGTAGAAAGCACAAGTCAAGTCACAACAGCATTTAAAATAGCAACACTATTTTTTTGTACATTATGTATTTTGATTTCTGCCGTTACTCATATACAATAGAGGTGAATGGGAGTTAATTTTGTGTGTGCACAACAACATCAACAACAATCTCTGACAGATATCTTGAAACTCTGAATAAGACCATTGCATGGTTTGACACCACTGCAGGTTACTGAGAAAGTTTGTTTATAATTTCAGTGAAAAGACCCTTTGAACAAAAGCTTTTCACATCATATATAAACTTAAACATTTACCCTACAGACCAGCATATGCTCTGGTGTCAATGTAACGCTTACAATTACCTATACACTCTATCATGTCCTTCAGCTTAAAAGCAAGGGTGCTGATAAACTTCAGTAGAGTTGGTTTTGACTCTTCAAAGACATCAAATGAACTAAATGCTGCACTTGAGAATTCTTGTTGTGAGTTTGACCAGCTTTGATGGTTAGATTGATGTTTAATATGTTTAATTTGCATGTTATGTTTAGATGTGTATTTGATCTCTTCAATTTGAATGAGCTGCAAGAATGAGCATGAGCAAAGTGTCCATGTTACTTAGAATATTTAATTGTTAACCGACATGTGTTGAATGTGTTACTTACATTTTCAATCCATCGGCAAATACCGATCGAATTATTCAGATTTTCTAACTTAAATTGGCCTTCACATTTTAGCCCTGACAAGTTTTTAAAGTTTAGTCAAGTCAGGTTTTTGACTTGAATCCTCCTTTAAAGGAGTCAATTTCACTCTCTGTTAGTCCCTGTCTTTTTTCATATTTGCAAAACCTTTTACAAATTATGATTTATTCTGCCATATTATCAACATAGAAATTGCAAGTACATTGGCATTTAACTTATTATTTTCAGTCTTTTCCTGGTCTTTTCCGGGCTGAACTTTTCCTGACCTCTTTCCTCTTTCTTTATTACAAGTTAGCCAAATCCAGCAGGACTTCAACACTCTGGACAAGATAATGCCCTTTTTTCCCACGGAGGCGGCTCAGAATTATTGCACCTTCTATCATTTCTTAAAACCCTGATAGGCTTGATCAATGTCACCTTATAGCATTACAAGCAATATATCTCCAGGTGAAGTGATAGATAGATACCATCGCTGCGTTTCGATCCCTCAGTGTTTGCTGCATACACGGCGGTTAAAGGTCATTTTCATTTTCTCTGTGTTCAGTTTGTTCTCTGGGGATTTTAATCAGCAGCTCATCAGTCACTGTGTGAACAACTGGGCAGCCCCCATGTCCTATAACCTCTTTCGCCAAAGGTGTCCTTGGGGGACATGGTTAACTGTGCTGATGACCTGTCATACTATATTTATCACTGTCACGCGTTTATTTATGGGTACTGTAGGAGCAAACACAATAGTGGTGGCTTAAAGCCCACCTCTGCTCCGCGCCGTCCTTTGGATGAGCCTGGTCAGATTTAATAAAAGAAGGAGTTCAAAACACCGGCATAAAAGTTATAACAATAATCTGATTTTAATACAGTAAAAAACAAAATACGAAATACAGAGTGCCCTGAAAACAGAGCACTCCGGGCTCCCCGCTCTACTGCCGTGCGATACAGATATCGGGACCAGCCAGTCAGAAACAGGGAGCATTTAGCATGAAGAAACAACAGTATATATGGACATATTTGGGGCGGAGATGTGTGTCGGCTCTTCCGTCCCATTTTACTCCTAAGCGAATCAGAGAGTACATGGGGAGGAGTTTGGGTCGGTTGCTCACTCCCCTAGGTGTTCTTACTGGTTGGATTCACTTTGGGTCGGGCCCAATACAGCGAATCAGAGTTCTGGGAAAAAGTATTTTTCTTCCGAACAGAGTGTGAGAGCCTCGGAACTCTACAAGGTCAGAATCACTTTTTATCTTATACCTGGGTTAACTCCTTTACTTTCCCAGGGAAGGTTTCACACAAACTATTCTTTCCTAAACAATCAAACATTGTACACAGATATATTGGTATCAAACATTGTACACAGATATATTGGTGCTTGGGATTATATTGGCCCCAGAAAGAACCTTGAAAAAGAACATGTGTGTGTGTTAGTGAGGGGAAGTGTATGTGTGTGTGTGTGCTGATAAGCGGAGGCGTGTGTGTTGCTGATATCTGGGTCAGGAAGTGTATGTGTGTGTGTTTGCTGATGGGAGGAAGTGTATGTGTGTGTGTCAGGGTCTCTGGGTCATGGAGTATAAGTAAGAAGGTTTATATATATAGGATTACTTTAAAACAGTCCCAAATAATACATGTTCACTTCAATACAGTTCAAGATAATACCTGTTTACTTTAATACAGTTTAGAACAATATCTGTTTGCTTTAGTACCCAATAATCCAAGCGAACCAGCTGTGGACTTGGCCATTAGTTCCGTTTTGTATTCACTTCCCCTCCTCTTCTGATTACACATTTTCCCTCTCCATCTGACTTTTCTCCGCCTCTCTTCTTATCTCTCCCTCGTGTTTTTTTCTTCTCATCTTAACCTTGTTTTTCTATCATCCTTTCGCTATGTCCTTGTCATTCTTCCCCACCCTTCCACTGACCGTTTCCAACCTCCGACACCATCGACTAACTCCTCTCCGCTCGTCACTGCCTGGGGGCTGGCATTAAAGTGACCGATCTCCCCTCTAAGTGAACTTCGAGTCGAAGGGGGGTACACTTTGGTTGACTTTGTAAAACTTTTGATGGATGACAGAGCTGGTTGCTGCTGTCTTT